CAATTTACTTCCGCTTTTACTCTGCATTTAAATCACACATGTTTTGAAATTAATTCCCTAGCATTTATTTCACCAATTAAACTCAACCGTTTCCATAATAAATAGTCATTAATGCATTTTCCTCTACGGACGGTTCTCGGACCGCCCATGTAACCCTACCGGTCCGTTGAGTCGCGGTGAACCGGGTCCACGGAAGGCGGGTGTTACAACCTTACTATGGAACAACGCCGGAACAGGACCACATCACACTGCCAACCGAATTTGTGAATGGGCAGCCCTTATCCGAGCCTGTGAGGATCCTCGCCGAGCGACAGGTACTAATCTGAGGAAAGCCAGTGAAGCAATGCCTGGTGGAGTGGACTGATGGGGGCAGTGATGACGCTACTTGGGAGCCCTACGACCGGCTTCGGCAACGATTTCCCACGCTCCACCTTGAGGACAAGGTGGTTTCGCAAGCGGCGGGGAATGTTACGCATGGGGTGCATGGATCCCAAGATGGGGGCGTGGACGAGCAGAATAAGGCAACGGGCCGAACCAAGGAAAAATGGGCCGAAGAAGAAAAGGAATCAGCCCAGGAAGAACGTGGGAAGCCGCGAAGTCAGCGTCGGAGGAAAACACCGGGATGGCACGGTGATTATGTTCTAAAGTAAATTATTTTATTATTTTATGTAATAGATTTTCTTAGGTGGACGTATTATAAGTCCCTTCAAGGGTTTTCTTTTCGGTTCTTTCCCTTGACGCCTTTTTTGAACTGACAGGGTAGTGTAGGGTTTCTCAAATATTATAAGTACGGGATGTACTCTCTTGGTTTCAGCATCTCATAATCAAAAACCCTAATTTCCTATTGGAATTTGGAGGTACTCGAAGCCCTCCCCTATCCTTCACGTATCAATATGTTGCACAAACTTTAATTTACTTATTCTACACAACTTATCTGAGCTTGGACCATCACCCTGAAAATTATACACACACACAACACACACAAAACACATTATGTGAGACAAGCAATTAAGTGTTAACAAGCATTTAAAAGACCACAAATAACAACATAATTCTGATAAAAGTTCATCTCCATCGTACTAGTATAGTTTAGTCACTTAAACATGCAAGTCTAAAAGTTATCCTTGAACATGTCATTCATATGTTTATCAATATCTATATCGATAGACTCATCATGGACACTAGATAAGTCTAACACCATAGTCATCTTCAAGATACTCATCATTATATAGTTGATGTTTCTCTGTGCTTATTGATTTATTGCTTATAAGTCATTTGGGATATTCATAAAAGGTGAGGGATAGTTTTGTAGGTAATTTAGCTTAAAAATATATAAGACCTTATTTTCTCTGGGTTATAAGCAGCTTAAATGTAAGCAGCTTATATATATATATATATATATATATATATATATATATATATATATATATATATATATATATATATATATATATATATATATATATATATATATATATATATATATATATATATATATATATATATATATATAGTGTGGTGAGCTTGACGTCATCTCACTGAAGCATGTCATCTCATCTAATGTGTATCTCACTAGAGTCAATCCTATATTGGGATTGACTCCACTCAAATGACACCTTACGGTGAGATGACATGCTACAGTAAATGACCCGAAGCTTACTAGTGGCCACTCCAAAGCTCATTAATGAAGCAGACGGTTGCCAATTAAAACCCTAGATTCGTCATTCCTTAGGTTGTTTATCATCCTTCACCACACGAGCATCATTTTTTATGATTTCAAATCCCTAGTAACCAAATTTGGTTTGAAAAGAGTTGAAAAGGTACATGCATTTTTTTGTGTATGAATTTCCTGTTTACATTTGTGTGTGTGTATGATTTATGTTTGTATTCCCTTTATGTTTCAGTGGGGAGAGGAACTAATTAGACCTAGGGATTCACTGGTATATTGATATGCAGCATTATATTAGATATTCCACATTCAAACTTGCTCCCAAATGATATTGGGGTGAGAATGCAGAAAAGATTGAGCACTTTCTCTGGATTTGTCCCAAAGCTTAAGAGGACCACAGGTGAAATGGTCCTAAATTATTATTCTATTATTCAACTTTTGATGCACTAAATTTCTATTATCTTAACCCTGATTGGCATGCTCTATACAACGATGGGGACCAATAAGCAGAGGGAATTGGTATAGGATTGGAAATTATTTTAGTGAGCAATTGAGTACTGTTTGTTTCTACACCTCAGATGGTGTAATTACCGGCTATCAAACTTAAGTGAATGTTATTGGAAGCTCTTATAATGAGCAACAGAGTACCGTTTGTTTCTACAACTCATATGGCCCATTAGTTCAGCTATTTTCCCCAGTTTTTTCTCATACGGTCTGTATTTAAAAGACCTAAGACTTGAGGCGGAGGCGGATCTATTTGCAAACAATTGGGGGCAAATGTCCCCAACTAAATTTTGGTGTTAAACTAATTCTTTTTACTCCCTACAAAAAGGAATGACCCCATCTCAAATTATTTACTCCCTACAAAAAGGAATGGAATCTTATTTAATTAAGCTAGTTTTCAATTTTTTCGTTTAATATTATTGAAGTAAAGTGTATTTTATTGCATTTAATTTACTGTTTAGAATAAAATTTTACATTACCGATTAAATAAAATTTTATATTCAATAAATGTTTAAAATAAAATTCATTATTTTTGTCATTTCATATTGTTTATTTTTTTAAAAAAATCAGGGGCGCTGCCCCGACCAATCTGGGTCCGCCACTGACTTGAGGCACCTATGGAGATCCTCAATAAGTTATAAAGTGTAGGCCTCTAATTAGTTTACCATCTTTCAGTTTTCATTACATATATATTTTGGCTATGATTCAATGGTTTAACTTCATCTTGTCAATAGTGTTAACTGTGAAATGTGTGAGTCCTACATATCAGTTTATCCTTGCGGATGTGTTTTATTAGATTTTTATTAGCTTGAAATTGAATCATAATGTGAGGATCTTAACTTTTATCACTTGAAAATGACAACTTTTCCTAAAATGTATATATGCTTTGTTTTAATTCATATTGGACAAGCCTTTACTATGCTCCTGGTCAAACAATTTCTTTCTTTACGTATTTTCATCTATCATTCCATCATAGATAGTAAAACGTTGCAAGGACTCAAAATCGCCAGTTGCAAAGTTCTCCCCAACATCAATTTGGTCATGTTCCCAAGAAATTTGCAGCGATGGAGGAAAAGTTTCTCAAAATCGCCTAAATCTACAAAAAAAGGTTTAGAAATTAAGATTTGTTTAAACTGGTTTGGTTTTGAATCAGCCCGTTGTTTATGGTCGCCTGGTCGATACTGTGGTGTTGCCATGTGTCCAGTGGTGTGGTGCTGACAACCAGAAATACTTATACAACTCAAAATTCCTTGGGCTATTTGCACAACTTTTTTCCCATACAAGTAGATTAACTCTAACGCTGCAAACATTTCTTCTTCGATCTTCCTTTGCAGTTACTCCGTATTAAATTAAATTAAGCATCTGCAGCTGTTGCTTTTCAATAACTCCATATTGAGCTGTCCTAACTTCTCCTCTGCCTGACCTACTTTTATGCAGGAAACTCATCCGGACTCCTCAAATCTCTCATTGCCTACTCAAGGATTATCTTCTTCACTGGACTGTGCATCAGAGCATCGTAGAGACTTATTCTTTGGGATTTTTGCCATTCACCCTATGGAAGATCCTCCTTGCCAATCTTTGAGTTTTTAGAAAGTGATAAAAACTGAACTGGTTTCTATTAATCACAAGCAACGTATTTATACAAATACAAAGCGGGCTAGGTTAACAAGTGGGCCCGATAAACTATTTACAGTCCAAAACTACAAATATCCGCTAACACTCCCCCTCAAGTTGGCGCAAGAAGATCCAGAATGCCCAACTTGCACAGCAGAAAATCAAAACTGGGTTTCGCTAGAGGTTTGGTAAAAATGTCAGCTAACTGGTATCTCGTTGGGACATATCTTGTCGAGACTTCATGCCGCTGGACACTCTCTCGAACAGTGTGACAATCAACATCCACATGCTTCATACGCTCATGAAAAACCGGATTTGCTGCAATATACAACGCGGACTGATTGTCACAATATAATCTAGGAGGATATAATATAGGCACACCCAAAGCAATAAGAATTCCTCGCATCCAACGAATCTCTACACAAGCATTTGCCAAAGCCCTGTACTCTGCCTCTGCAGAAGACCTACCCATGATACTGGAGACGTACCCAACATGATACTGGAGACGTACCCAACATGATAAAATATCCGCTAACAGAACGACGAGACAATGGGCAGCTAGCCCAATCGGAGTCACAATACGCTGAGATCTGGAGATTACTGGTGGTGCTCAGAAATATACCTTGACCAGGATGACCCTTGATGTAACGAAGAACACGCATAGCTGCGTTCATGTGGTCAAGAGTGGGAGCCTGCATAAACTGAGATAAAACATGGACAGAGTAACAAATATCCGGCCGAGTGATAGTGAGATAAATCAGACGCCCCACAATACGGCGGTACCGCGCGGGGTCGTGGAGAACAACCGCCGTTGACCGGCCAAGGTTGTGCGTCGTAGGTAGCGGCGTATCAGCGGGCTTACATCCCAACAGTCCGGCTTCCTGCAAAATTTCTAAAACGCATATTTGCGTTGACACAACACCATGCCTGAAGCAGAACGAGCACACTCAATGCCCAAGAAATATTTAACCGGACCTAAATCCTTTAGTTGAAAACACTTGTCCAAATACCGCTTAAAAGAAGTGCATAAGGTAGAATTATTGCCTGCAACCAGAATATCATCAACATAAACCAAAACAGTAAGAATATCCGGGCCATGACGAAGAATAAATAGAGTATGATCCTTATGGGCCTGTTTAAAACCCCACTGGCGAAGAGCAGTGCTGAGTTTATGAAACCAGTTGCGAGGAGACTGGCGTAGCCCATACAATGATTTCCGTAACCGGCATACTTTCCCGGGAATGGAAAAACCGGGAGGCATGCGCATATAGATTTCCTCAATAAGATCACCATTTAGAAAAGCATTATTAACATCAAGTTGATGGACCTCCCAACCGCGCGCTACAGCAACAGAGAGTAAAATGCGTATCGTCCCCATTTTGGCTACGGGAGTGAACGTATCTGTATAATCTGTCCCGAATTCCTGATGATTTCCCATAACCACAAGCCTTGCTTTATCACGCTCCTTCGTACCATCAGAGTGAAACTTCGTACGATAAACCCATTGACATCCAAGAGCTGTCCGATCCGGGGGTAGGTCAGTTACCTCCCATGTGTGATTATTTTCCAAGGCTGTGATTTCCAGTTGCATAGCATGTCTCCAATTTGCATGTTGCATGGCCTGTTTGAATGATGTTGGGACTTCGCAAGAAGTCACTGCAGCTAGAAATCCACGGTACCTGTCATGTAATTTCTCATAATGAACAAAATTGTGGATAGGATATCGAGTACCTGAAGACTTAGACGGAGCAATGGGAGGAACAACGGGAGTAGATGTCCAGGCGGTGTGGCAATAGTAATCAGAGAGCTTGGCGGGGGGTCTCCGATCACGGGTTGGGCGTGTAGGCGACAGTGGACTGTCCGGGGCAGACTCACTGTCGCTATCGGTTTCAGGTGGGGACTGCCCGGAGACTGCTGGGACGGATGCTGGCGATGTGGGCTGATCGGCGGCAAACACTGGTTGGACGGTAGGAAAGTCTGCGTGGGTGGGACGCGAAGAAGCCTCGGGAGACGAGGTCGGCGTAGTGGACAGTGCAAACTAGGAAAACTGTGTCATCAAAAGAAACGTCACGAGCATGAAAAAATCGGTGAGATTCAAGATCATATACACGCCAACCCTTAGTTCCCGTAGGGTATCCCACAGACATACATTTAAGGCTACGGGGGTGAAATTTATTTGGTGGACGTGGGGTAAGACGAACATAACACAAACAACCAAATACCCGGAGATGAGACAAGTCTGGAGGTTTTGAAGAAAGTAGTTCAAAAGGTGATTTTCCCTGTAACAAAGGAGTGGGGGTTCGATTTATGAGATACACAGCAGTACGAACGCACTCTCCCCAAAGCTCAAGAGGTAAGGATGCTTGAAACATTAGTGAACGAGCCACATTAAGAATATGCCTGTGTTTGCGTTCCACACGCCCATTTTGTTGCGGGGTGTGAACACAAGAAGTTTGAACAAGAACCCCCATACTGGTATAAAACTGACGCAGAGGTTTATTCACAAACTCAGTACCATGGTCTGTGCGAACAATTTTTATAACTTTCCCAAATTGAGTTTGAATCACTTGAAAAAATTGTTTCAGACAACTGGTAACCTCTGTTTTGTCAATAATGAGGAAAACCCAAACAGCGCGAGAATAATCATCAACAATGGCGAGAAAATAATGTGAACCAGTAGACAAACATGGAGAATAAGGACCCCATAAATCACAATGAATTAAATCAAACAATGCATCAGCTTTATTAGTACTCTGGGAAAAACTAGATCGAGTTTGTTTGGAAAAGAAACAAATGTCACATGACTGAAATTTTTTAATTTCAGCCGTGCTTTTATTAAATGGAGGTAAAGATAAAACTTGGGGTGATGGGTGACCAAGACGCCGATGCAATAAGGAGACGGATACAGCTGTGGACGCTTGGGCAGAAGGAGAAAAGACATAAACTCCGTTGCGCACTTCACATCGTCCAATCTGCGTCTTCGAAGTTCGGTCCTGTATCACACAAAAATGGTCATCAAAGAAAACATAGAGCACATTATTTAAAATTAAAGTTGAGGAAAGGTGCACTCGTCCACACGAGTTCGCCACGACTCGTGCTCCGTCAGGCAAACTAATTGTGCAAGGAGCTACGGGTTTAATGCCCGTCAGATACAAGGAATCTCCTATCATATGATGAGAGGCCCCACTGTCGACTAACCATTCACTCGAAGTGGGACGAAACATACCTTGCAACTTATCAGGAGTGGAATGGGATGCTTCTAGTATGGAGAAAAGACGTGCGACTTGATCGGATGATAGTGCAGAGAGAGAGGAGGATGATTCGGCTACTGCATGGGCTGACGGGCCTGCCGTTCCTCCGTGCTGCCCGACAGCAGTAGGTGCCGGCTGTGCTGCTATTCGGCCTCCCTGTTGCCGCGACCTCCCCCTCGGCTAGGCGACTGGCGGCCACGTCCCCTGCCCGAGTTCGGAAATCCAATAATCATATAACATCGATCAACCGTATGCCCCGTTTTCCACAATGAGTGCATTGATACCCGTTTGAGGTTGCTCGAGTTGTAGCAAACGCCATGGCATCCGTGTGGTCATCTCGAGCACGAACAACGTTTTTATGGCGTTCCTCTTGGGTGATTAAATAGAACGCCTTGTTAAGATCCACCAAGGGCCGGGTTCCAAGAATTTGGCCGCGTATGCTCCCGAACTGTTTGTCATCTAAACCCAAAAGAAACTTTCGAGTTTTTGATTTTTCAGCCCGATCCTTCAAGTGTGTTGCCGCCTCACACTTGCATCCACATGTTGGATCATCCATTCCATATAATTTGTTGCAAATAGTGACAAATTGATTGTAATACACAACCACTGTTTGACCTTTCTGACGCAGATTTTGCAATTCATTCTCCAACTGATAGATATGGGGCTCATTAACCGTGCTATAACGAGCTTTTAGATCTGTCCATAATTCATGAACCACAGTATGGGAAGCAATACTGGGTTGAATTGTTTCATCAACACTGTTAAAAATCCAACTGCAAATAGTAGAATTATTTGCTTCCCAAGCCTCAAGTTCCATGGGATCTGTCGGCTTAGGCATACCAACAGGAGACAAAAAACTGGCCTTGCTACGTCCCTTCAAGGCATTAACAATAGTCTTTTCCCACATATCAAAATTATCGCCTTTCAAAACATGTTTCGTGAGAGCGTTACCTGGGCCCTCGGAAGGATGAAGATAATACTCAGTCGAAGGATCATGAATCAATCGGGTTTTCTTTGTGGTAGACGTCATGACAGATCTTCGAAGCTTGACACAAAAGGACCAAACCGAGACAAATTCTCAGTCGCCGTGCAGCTTCTGCAGAAGAATCGCCCAGGGAGATCGCCGAACACACACAAGTTGCCGACGAGGGAGACGATCGACTTGGGTCAGTCGATCGGTATTACCACCGAAAAAAATCAAACGTATCGTGCCCAGGGTTTTGGCTCTGACACCATGTAGAAAGTGATAAAAACTGAACTGGTTTCTATTAATCACAAGCAACGTATTTATACAAATACAAAGCGGGCTAGGTTAACAAGTGGGCCCGATAAACTATTTACAGTCCAAAACTACAAATATCCGCTAACAGAGTTGTCATCATTCCTCTCCGATCTTCAGTTCAAGTTTGTGTTTTGTAAATCTTTTTTAATTGCACAAATAAAATTTCAGTATAATTTAAAAAATATTAAGTTCTTTTAAATTATTTACTGATAGATCATCAGATCATCTTGGTCATTCTATTATTAGGCTTTTAGCATATTAATCATTCCAATAAGGACGATTGAGAAACTCAAGAGGGGTTTTGACAAACTAACTGAGAGAAACAACATTCAGAGAGCTCTTATATCTTCTTAAGCTCTTTATTATGATTTTCATTTTTATCAAGCTCTAGATTATCATTATCATTTATATTATATCAATAAATTTATTTGAAAAAAATGGTCTTAAGACAAAACTTTGACAAATGATGTTCGTAGGAGTTTTAGAAAGAAGTTGTCAATGCAATAGAAACATTTACAGCTATTGGCTATAAGCATATAGAAGCAGTTAGTGGTTTTCCAATTTCTTTCAAACTCAAACAATCTATTTGTGAGCACTATATGTTGTTAAAATTTTTGAAGGTGTTTACTTACATGATGCAATTTTGCACTATGATGTTACTTTTGCACAATGGATTTATAACCGGTGCTAACATAGATGTGATCCAAGACCAAATAAGCATCGAGATAGGTTGTCCCCTTATTTTCCTCTGATAATTTTATTTACCCTTCTTCTTCCATGTCTTTTCATTATTATTCATTGCACAATAATGTTTTGTTGCCATTATGGTTTCTTGTGCTCAGAAGGTGGAGAGTTGTGTGATTGTATGAACCATGCTTATCAAGATCGCGATCCCATCGAAGACGCCACTCTTCGATCCTAACCATTTGATCTTAGGATTCCTCTGACTTTCTTCTGTCCATCATGAGCAACTATGGTGGCTTCCATTTTCTTCAATTTTAAGGATTGTCCAAAATTGAATTTTAAGGTTTGCATTTATTGGGTCTTCAAATTTAGTCTTACTTTTATGTTTAATGTGTATTTAGATTTAAAATCTTGATCAAGTATGCTATTCTGTCTGCATTGTGTTCCCTTGAACGTAGCCAACAATTTGGTTAATCCTTTTGTTCTTCTGAATTTTCTTGAGTCGAAGTTCCCTGTTGAAAGAGGAGGAGCATGAGCTGGAGGAGGGGGATAATCATGTAAGCTCTTGAAAGACAATAATAATTTGCAATATAAATGTACACTATAGTGTCTCACTAGCTTAAATTTGTTATCATGAGCTTTCTGACATGTACCACTTTTTCCACTACATGCACATCTATTATTTTTATAATAGAAATTGAATTATTTTGTTTAGATGTGATCACTACAAGAAATTATGAGTTTCGCCGCATTTAATTTGCCACACTTGACTAAGTGTGACAATAAAATTTAACACTTAAATATTTCTCCACACTTAAAAGAGCTGTTATAAATAATTTCATGTACCCACATAATTAAGTGTGCCAAATCAATTATATATACTTAATTTAAGAAAATGTATTTAATTTATTAAATTAATTACACTTTAGTAATTGAAATTCTAAAATTAATCCCTAACCACCTTAAAAAATCTAAGCCACTTATTCTAATTCACTAAAAATCTAATCCCGCGCTTAAGTTTTCATTCTCCGCTCCATTATTCCGCCTAATAATTCATCTCCTCAAACCAAAATCTGTAAACCTAATCTATCGATCCATTCTCACTCGTTCTGCCGTCTGCGTGCTCGATCTGATCTCTAGCCCTGGAATCGCTCATCTCTTTGGCGCACCATCGCGTTCTATCTCTGGCGCACGCATAGCATTCATCTCTTTGGCGCACATCTCCTCCGGCCTACATCAGTCTGCACCAGTCCTTCAGCATCAATTTCACAATCCACCGGCCAGGTATGTAAACCTAATCTATCTTGCGTATCATCTTAGCATTCAATTCGTTTGGCCTGCAATTAGATTGTCTTGAAATTATATTGTTTGAAATTAGATTGTCTAAAAATCTATTGCGCTAATTTTTAAAATTTAGACCCTAAAAATCTGTATAGCCTTATTGAATTGCAAGATATTTACTCCTAATTGATGTAAATACTCAATAAAATGTATAGGCATTGTTTTTTGATCTCTTATTCTTTGCTGTGTTTTCTGGAATGAGGATAGTTAATTCATATATGGAATAGAGGCATTTGTTTGCTCTGTTCTAAGCTTTTATGGTGTGGCTTGCAAGTATACATTATCTAGTTAATACAACTTACGGGGGAATGTTTACATAATGTATTTGAAATTTATAAGAAGGCCGGTTGTGCTTCCTCTCTTAGACTAATGAAATGTTTGTGCTTCACCTTTTAGATAAATGAAATGTTAGGGGCTTCCCTTTTAGATAAAAGATGGTTCCATGAATTCTGAGGATCCAACTAGTACATCCCGAAACAACTATAATGCACAGTTTTTGTTATGGGACAGGGGACAGGGGCACATCACGGACTTAGATTTTGTTAAGATCCCAAATTCCATAGGTCTGTGTTTGTTTGATATCCTAAAAGTCCGTGTTTGACCAATTTCTCCACGCACTTCCCAAATATCTCCAAGCACTTCCTAAAAGTCCCTGTTTGACAAAATTTCTCCATGTACTTCACAATCGCCAAACGAAGGGACTGACGGGTAATGATAAAAAAAAGTAATGGCCAGAATGACTTCTAGTTTCATCATTTGGGATTAATTCCTTGTGTTTTTTCAAACCTTTTGCCTATGACTTCTCGTTGGTAGGGACTTTGGTTCGGTTAATGTATATTTTTTTGGATATTACAAATGAATTGACAATATTCTAAATTGAGTATACTAAAACTCACTATCTAAGCTCAACCCTAAGCTATAATGCAATGTATATCGCTTCCAACGAATCTTTTTGAAATTGTCATCCCATTAATGTCGTGATAACAAGTGAGCTACCCCTTACTGTTGGGGCTGTTTAACCTGCATGGTGGTAGTTCTTTCTATTGTTGGCAGCCCTTGTTCGTGGTCCGCTTGACCCTTTCGGTTGGGGTTTGGGAGGAATGTTTGGGCAACTTGATGGCTCACTTTGGCTCACTTAGTTACTTTGGTTCTTGCGGCTTGTTGGGGCTGTTCTTACTTGGGTGATGTAGGTTATGTTTGCCGGATTTCCTAGCCTAAGTGCAGTGCCAGAACTGATTACTTAGGGCATGTA